GAGATGCTGAGGTGCATGGAATTCCGTGAGGGCAGAACCTATACAACGACCCACAGGACTTGGGTTGACCCACGACTTGTATGAATGTCGAAGGGAGGAGTAAGAAGAGAAAAGGAATGAGAGAGCGTTGTCATGGGAACACCAAGGCAAATCATAAGATGAAAAAGATTTGAAACCCATTCTGTTATCTCAGGCTTTATTTATTCAAGTAATAAATCAAGACATCTGTGTCAAAACCAGTGCAGCGTAAAATGAACTAAGGATAAGCTTTTCAATCCAATCAATACTGTCTTCTAAATACCAGAATCTTTTTAAAAATGGATGCTTCACTGCACATTTGATCTATATTACTGGTAAAATTACTAGATGAGCATTTGTGCATGCTCTCTCTTTGTTCTAGTTTCTTTTAAAAATTCCGCATTACTCACCAAGAAGGATTACTATAAAGACAGAATTGTTGAGAATACTATTTCATGAGCAGAACAGTTTCTAAATGTATGATAGGTCAAAACAAGTCAACCAGGCTTGGGTAATGAAGTGCTTACCCCAGATGAGGTATTAATAAATGAATGCTGCCTAAGGGTTAAGTAGACCAGGAGGTCAGTGTTCAACTCACAGAAGGGAATTTCATTTAACTATAATCTGGTCCAAGAAGGAAATATCAATCATTGGAGGGCAGACAGCTTGCAATACTGGTCTTAAAATTCCGTGGTGGGAATTTGTGTTACTGCTCAAGGAAGGCACTAACTCTTTCATATCTCTGGATTCGTAGCTCCCCACTGAAGTTCTAGTTCTTTCTAAGAAAGGTAAGCCCCTTCTATATGTAAGTTTCCTATAGCGAAGTCACTTGACAAAATAATTAATCTTGAGAGGCAAGCTGAGCTCAATGAAATTAAATCGTTTTAATACTTTTATTTCATTAAACAATGCATTCCCTTTCTGGATTCATAGACTCATCATTAGGATAGAATGTTAGACCCGGAAAGACCTCCAAGAGCAAATAAGACAAGCTGGCTTTGTTCAGTGAACTGGCAGAGGCCACACAGTTGGCAGAACTGGAGCTTCCTTTTCATCTCTTGACTGAAACAAAGACGTTCTACAAAAAATTTAATGCAGTTTACAGACTTACATCTCAGACATTAGTTTGATTTTAAGGAATAACAATCCAAGACACAGAGAGTTAAAACTAGTTTTTTCTCATCTGCTAGACAGGGCCTGCCTGTAAGAAAATAGACCTACATTGCATTTCCATTTATTAGATGAATGGCTAATGTACCAACCCCTGCCTCCCTCTCCTATAAACCTCCTGCTGAATCCTTATCTGTCTTGTTCATCCTCATCTGTCTTCTAAACCCTGGACACGCTTAGAAGGTGGGGATGAAAGCTCAAAAAGTTGATTGGTTTTGAGGACCCATGGTGAAGGAGGAAGGGAAAAAGGAAGACCTAAATAGGTAAATTCGGGGAGGAAATTTAAAGCTATAGGTGAACATTTTATGCGGTTCGTAAAAATGGAATTTTTGGGGACATTTTAAAAATTTATTTACTACTAATTTTCTAAGGCTGTTTATACACCAAAAGTCACTACTATTTTAAGACGTATTATGTAAGGTATGAAGACTTAGTGAAAAACCGTTTTTTTAAATATGTGGAATTTTCCCTAAATGACTATAAAGATTTTTTCCCCCTCTCTTTTGAGTTGGGTCTATTTTCCTTGTCTTTGTATCTTTAGCCCCAAACTGGAATCCAACACCGACAGTTCCTTGGGTTTCCACAGAGGGGCAATGGCACATGGGCCCAACAGATGGTTAGGGCAGGCTCTGGCCCCAGTTCATGGAACATTTTCTGATTCACACTGACAGACCAACCACGGGAAAGTTAAGAGCCCTCCACTGACACTGCCCTGCACTACAATTCCATGTCCTCCACACCCAGGTCTCCACTGCTTCTAGAAAGCCAGCTGTTCTCGTTCAAATGAGCCCAGGTCACTAGACCTTATATTTCTGAGGATCTTTCTCTGCTCTCTCCACAAGAGAAACGGGGACAGCAGTATAGACCACCAGGCCCCAGGAAATGTTGGGTTACCTTTCAAGCAAATGTCGTGGGTTAGAAAGACAGCACGAGAAGGCGAAAGAGCCCTGGTCACAGGGTAGACAACCTGAATGCAGGGCCTGAGCTGTCCTGTCCTAGCCTTGGGTCCCAGCAAATTGCTGCCCATTCTCAAGCGTGATAATAACATGTATCCTTGCAGAATTTTAATAAGAGGAAATAGTGTAATGGAAGCCCTCTAGGTCATAGAAGGCTACAGTTATTTTTACTAAAGCCCAATCATAGAATATATTAAGAACCAAGAGATTTGATGAGCTGCACTCACTCCTTATGATACTTGGGAAGATGTAAGTCAACAATTTTGACTCTGGAGCCCATGATGTTTCAATACTGACAGAATAAATTTAGCCATTTGTAGTACTGGGAAGAAGAAAGTTTGCTCTTACAATATGGATTTTTCTCCTTGGAAAGTTGACGTAAGGACCTCACCCTATAATATGCACGTATGGATAGAGTTTCCTTCCATGTAACCAACATTTCACATTAATAAATATAACGGATCACATTTTTCATGAGTACATCCCCTGAAAGTTCCCACTGTGGACAATCGAGGGCCTCACCACCCATCGTGGACAAGAAGATGTTTTAATCACCCTTTTGACACTTTGCTGCAACTCGTAGAGCTAAATTCCAAAACAGGAAGGGATTGGGTCCTTCTTATATACTAATCTTTCAAGTCTAGATGGCACCTCACTTGCCCAGGGCTGGAGAGGTAAAACAAACAAACAAACAAAAAACCCCCAACTATTTCTGTTGATTTTGCTCCTTTTTCTAACACCCAGCGCTGGGCAGGGGTCACCTGTTTAGTACCAGCCATAAAGCATTTAAAGGACTCATGGATCTGAGGGTGCTAAATTCCCAACTCCTCTCTCTCCTCACAGCAGCAGGAATCACAGTGTCTGGCCAGCAAAGTCAAGGACAGGTAGCCCTGCTCCCTCATCAGACTCTGGGCTCCCAGGCTACACTCACACCTCTGACTCTGTGGCTTTCCTGGTCCTCCCGGGTGTCCCCTTGGTTTTGCTTCTCCTCTCTTTCCCTAGGACAGGGCTACTGAGAGGCCCTTTCATTTCAGCCCGCAAATCTCCATAGCAACTGGAAAGCAGGTGATGTCATTGTATTCTCAAGACGGGAAAACTGAGCCTCAGAGAGCCCGGCTGGCTTGCTTTAGGTAAGGAATTGGACTTGGGGCTTCTAACTTTTTAGCCAGGGATCCTGCAATCCTTAGTTTGGATGGAGCAGATGTCTGGGGGCCCGTTTACAGAGGGGGCTAAATAAGGTCAACAAGACCGGGATCCACACACTTTGGACCAACTCCCAAAGTGCCTCTCCCCAGAGAAATGGCAACAGCTCCGAAAGGCGGGAGGGGAGAGTGGGAAAAGATGGGCTTCTCAAGTCCTCAGACCGGCATTAAAGTACACAAACGACGACTGAGTGACCCCGCATTACAGAGACTGGGCTCTGACACGGGGTATGTCATTCCTCCTAAATCCCTGTAGGAAATGAGAGATGCAGGAATTAGGGTGGAATGTAAACTATTCCTTAAGGAGGCAAGCGAGCACATCTCTTCTTCCAAGAGTTCCCTTCCGGAAAGAACCCGAGCTCATCCTTTCCCCCTGATTCTTAACTGGGGTGACTATGCAGGCCCCCTGTTAACAAGAGAAAAGGAAAGGAGGGTGGCGGGTGGAGGCTTGCGGGGGAGAGGCACAAAGTCCGGAGAAAGCAGACTTCCCTCCAACCCCATGGTACGCTCCTTTCCCGATGTGAATATCATTCCTGTCTTCTGTGACATCTCTGAGCGTCCCCTCTGTGCCAACCGGGCACAAAAGCCCCCTCCTTCTGTCTCACCCCCCCCATTCTCCCTCACTCCCACCCTCGCTGCTCATACACATGCAAAGTATATAGCATGACGCCCATTCTTCTGGGACAGGAAAAAGGAACGCGTACTTTTTCAGTTTTGTCCACCCATGTAGAGAACAGCGCACCTGGGCTGGGTGGAGGGGGTGGGTTTCGGGCACCAGCATGATGGGGACGTTGGTTGGGCCAGATGTGTGGGGGATGAGACGCTAGCAACAGAGCAGGCACGGCCGTGATCAGCAGCAGAGCCCGTAGAGCTAGAAAAGACCCCGGAGGCCACACAGAGTGACCTCTCTCCTTCCTGGGGGGAAATGGGGGATCACGTCCAGGGCTGCGCACCCACTCGGTGGTGGGGGCGAGGGTGAGGGGAAGACGGGAGATAGATGTGGCCCCTGGAAGATCAGGAGCCCACAGGTGATGGGAGGATAAGACTGGGATCCGATCTGGAAGCTTCCACAACTCACTGGAGTCCCTCCCAGTGTTCCCAGTGCCCGTTTGGGGACACCAGGCTCTGCTTTTGTCCTTGTCTTTTCGGAAGGAGCGAGAGGATTCTTGCCTAGCCACTTCTCAATTCCCCCAGGTGAAAGTAGAATTATGAACTTGCAGTTTCTGCATTTCTCAGAGCAGTTATGAGCACGAGTGGGGTGTGGGAAGCCACCCAGCACATTGCAGGGCCAGTTGGGTCTGGGTACCTCCTCTGTCCTCCTCTCTGGTCTTCCCCTATAAAGTCTGTCCTTCCTTATCCGACTTTACTAATCCTGTCTTTGGCAGGAATCTTGGGAAACAGTTATTCACTGTCTCCTTCCAAGCAAAATGCTGCCGGTGGCCGGGAAGGTGCCAGAGCCCAACACTGGGCTGGTGGACACCTCCCTAGACGAGGTGTGGCCCAGCCAAGCAGAGGGGAGACCCGGGGCCGTGGCGGCAGGTCTGCGCCTTGGGTCCCTTTCTCCGAGTGGGACGGCTGCGGTCTGGGGGATTCAGGCTCGTTCTTACCTTGAGAGGCAGAGCGGCAGGTGAGGCAGGGCAGCCCGTGCTGATCTGGACGGCAGGGCAGTACCTGTAGAGCCGCGCCCGTGTCGCCCGCACTGAGGTACCTGTGTCCTCCTCACAGCGCCTGGGGAGCACCTGGCAGGTCGCAGCGCCTGTCCTCAGCACGGCCGGTTCCCTGTCCTCCGCAGCGTGGTCCAGGGCGGCCCGTGGAATGGAGCATCCCCAGACACCCCTGCACAGGGGGTCCATGCCCCACGGGTCCTGGGGGGCAGAAGGGACTGGCTGGTGCTTCCAGCCCGTGGAGGGATCGCCGCTTCCATTGCTCATGCCGGGAGCGGGGCTAGGACACCCGCATGGCAGGGGCTGTGGCCGGCCAAGTTTCCTACAGGCGGGGGCCGGGGGACGCCTGCGGTGTGGGGATCCGCAGACACCACCCCTGCTTACGCGCGGGTCCTGGGGGTTTGCCTCCCCCGCCTTCTCTGCCTTCAGAGCAGAGCAACCAAAAGCAGCTGGTCGCTCTGTCCCAGGGCCTGCCTCCCGCGGCGGGCTCGAAGGAGACACAGCCAAGCCCTGTGTGCGCCTGAGGTCCCAGCCTGCCAAGAAGCCGGTCCTGGGACTTGGGAGAATGTGTCCCTCCTCCAGGCCCCCTGGGGCTGCTGCTGTGCAGGCTGCAGTGGCTGGAGACTGGGCGGGGACGGCCGGGGCAGGGGGAGCCCGCAGCTGGATGAAGAGGAAGGAAGTTTTCATCTGCTGTTGCTGAAGCTGCCCAGCCATTTCCTCCAAGGGGGTAGGGCTGGTCCTCGCCAGGGTCGAGTTTCAGACCTCGGTGCCCAGGGATGCAAACAGCTGCAGCTGTGGGCAGACGTGACTCAGCCCCATGGTTGCCCCGACGGCCTGAGGACGCAAAGGACACACCTTCAGCACCCGGGGGGAGTCTTCGAGGAAGAGGGGCTCAGGGCATGGTCTTGACCGTGAAACTGGACTCTGCACTCACGTCACAGAATCACAAAAACAAACAGATCTGTGGAGAATAATCTACAACTAAGGGTGGGAGTGGGGACAGTCAGGACTTGTCCCCTCTCACCTTTGTGTGTCTAAATGGCATTACTTGTCCTTAACTGCCTCCTTCCTCATACTCGAAATGAAAACACTATCCATTTCCTGGTTTAATCCTAAATTCTCTATTAGCTATTCCCATCACTTGGTGTCTGACCTGTGAGATATCAAGGTTTATAAATGAAGCCTCCAGTAAACTTCAAAGTGTCCTTTTAATCTACTTTGCTTGCATTACTTTTACTAAATACTGTTAAGACCTCTAAAATAAAAGGTATAACAAATAGTCAGAAACAACTTTAACGTTTTAATGAATTTCCATTTTAAATCTTGTGGTTATTTAGGGGTTCTCTGGGAGGACCCTCACAGTCCCACTTCAAAATACTTGGTCCTGTGGTTTGGATGTGTCCCCTCCAAAATTCAGGTGTTGCCAATGTGATAGTATGATGAGGCGGGGCCTCCAAGAGGCAATTAGCACCGGGCATGGTGGCTCACGCCTGTAATCCTAGCACTCTGGGAGGCCGAGGTGGGAGGATCGCTTGAGCTCAAGAGTTCGAGACCAGCCTGAGCAAGAGCGAGACCCCGTCTCTACTATAAATAGAAAGAAATTAGCCAAAAACAACTAAAAATAGAAAAAATTAGCCGGACACGGTGGCGCGTGCCTATGGTCCCAGCTACCTGGAAGGCCGAGGCAGGAGGATCGCTTGAGCCCAGGAGTTTGAGATTGCTGTGAGCTAGGCTGACACCACAGCACTCTAGCCCAGGCAAGAGAGTGAGACTCTGTCTCAAACAAACAAAAAAAAAGAGGTAATTAGGTTGTGAGAGCTTCTGCCTTCACGATGGGATTAAGTCCCTTATAAAAAAAGCTTCATGCAGTGATCAGCATGTTCTTCCATCTTCCACCCTGTGAGGACACAGTGTTCGTCTTCCATAGGAAGCCCTCACTAGCCCTCACTAGACAACTCGACCTGCTGCTGCCTTGATCTTGGACTTCCCGGCCTCCATAACTGCGAGAAACTAAATTTCTGTTCTTTATAAATTACCCAGTATCTTGTTATACCAGCACAAAACAGACAAAGACACTTGGCATCACACACACACACCCCAAAAAAAGAAAGAAAAAGGAAAAAGAAGAGAGAAAGAAGAAATAAGAAAAAAATCCAGGTAACACATCAGGCTGGAGGGTGTTTTTGTTTTTTTAAATAATTTAGCCGTCTTAAATTGTGAGAACATAGCAGTGCTTTTTAAAAAAATGGAGATCCTGTATTTCTAGCAAATTGTAACGGGTACTTGAAAAGTATCGTGAGAACAAAGCAGGACAAGAGGAAGAGGAAAAGCAATCACCTGAAAATTCGGTTGAGGAATTCACACTCGGAGGGTTTCTGCAGGCTCCATAGTTCTCCTAATGGAAAGGAGCCTTTTTGAGCCACGCTGACCTTGCATCTGAGGAGAAAAGAAGGCAGAGGTGAGAAAGCTCTAGGATTCATCAATTTGAAATAACTTGACTAACAGGGAGCCAGGAAATCATCCTCTGAGATAAAGCGAGCCTGTGGCCCAGAAAGTCCCTGCTCTGCACGGAGCATCGTGTCAAATCCAGGTGATCTCCTTCCCTGACTCATCACCATCCCCTCACATTGGCAGCAGCCCTGGAGCCATCAAAGGCCATGGGTGCTAGCTGGCCACCGGTGGCCAGGCTGAGTCTGTGGAAATACTCACGATGTTGGGTTTCCTTTTTAAAACATTTTCATGTTGTTTTTTCACCCAAAGTTATGGGGGCTTTGCCCACGTTTCCAGAGAGCTGACAAATGACTTGGTCTACATCTTCTTTAGAAATGTGCTCACTGCCCGGGCGCGGTGGCTCACGCCTGTAATCCTAGCACTCTGGGAGGCCGAAGTGGGTGGATCGTTTGAACTCAGGAGTTCGAGACCAGCCTGAGCAAGAGCAAGACCCCGTCTCTACCAAAAATAGAAAGAAATTAATTGGACAGCTAGAAATAAATAGAAAAAATTAGCTGGGCATGGTGGCACATGCCTGTAGTCCCAGCTACTTGGGAGGCTCAGGCAGTAGGATTGCTTGAGCCCAGGAGTTTGAGGTTGCTGTGAGCTAGGCTGACGCCATGGCACTCTAGCCCGGGCAACAGAGTGAGACTCTGTCTCAAACAAAAAAAAAGAAAGAAATATGCTCACAGCTGTTTAGACCATGCATGGGCCACCATAATCCTTTTATAACAAATACCAATACAGAGAAAGTTTTGGCAAAACAATATTATGTGCAAGTATAATTATACTGTGATCACATTAATTTTCGCCAAAAATCCCATGCAAGTGATATCTAGTCCTCTTTGTGTAATTTGCACAGTCTCCTCCAAACAAGTTGCTTGAACATGGCAATCACTCAACAAATACTAGTTCATTGACTAATTAATTGCCAATGATGGGCGAAGCTATGTTTTCAGATAGAACAGGGATTTGTGTGAAAATGAGCCATCATTTTGTTTTAGCTTCTAAAGCTGCCAGACATTACATCAGGTGCTTTACATACTGTATTTCATTCAAGGCACAGCATGGTCCCATGAAGTAGGTGGCCTCATTGCCATTTTGCAGTTAAAGAATGTCAGACTAAGAGAAGTAGAGTTATCATTTGCCTGATGCCTTTTAACCACAACTGCCCCAAGTAGGCAGGGCTTCAAAGAGCTACCAGATGGGAAGTTTCCCTTCAACCCCCTCCCCTCTTTCTATTTCAAACATCCAACTTCCAAATAAAGTGAAGTACCAAAGACACCATGGTGGTGCTGGTAGCGTGTCCAAGGCACCTCTTTCTTCTTTCTCTTTTTATTTGCAAGCTCACTACACTGGTGATTATTGCCCAATATTGCATTTCTAGGTGGTGTGGTTTGGAGAAGTGGAAAGAAATGGCTGACTTGGAGGACACATGTGAGATAGCTCCTTAGGAACCCTTAAGTTTTAGGGGGAACATTTAAGAGCCTGGGGTTCTGTATGAGAAGTGGGGCAAGTGCCAGGAAGCCAGAGAAACATCGGTTAGTGCTGTGATGTAAATGGCATCGCGACTGAGAGCACAAGCTTTGGGGCCAGACAGACATTTCTCTGAGCCCCGCTTCCACTGTGTGGCTGTGTGACCTTGGGCGAGTTACTTAACCTTTCTGATGATGGATGATCGGTTTCCTCTTCACTAAGAAGTAACAAGACCTACTTCCTAGGGTTGTGGAGAGGATTAAGCACAGCTGTATAGAAAGGGCTTACTTAGCACAGTGTCCAGCGTATAATAGGTTTTCAATAAATGTTAACTTCTCTAAGAATTTATACCCACACAGTACTGAGGCCTGGAGAAAATTGGATCACCCAGTCATGAACAATTTGTGTTGTTTCATGAAATAAATAATTTTTTAAAGCTGCAACAGGTAGACACATGCATGTATTTACACCTCCTGTCTGATGGGTAAGCATCTAAGAGCTGAGGAATTAATTGGGATGTGAAAGAGTAAGCAATGGATTTGGGGTCAGGAGACACAGGTTTGAGTTCTGCAGTAACCATTTATTAGGCGTGACTCACAGCAAGTCTCCGAACTTCAGTGGAAATACCTGTAAAACAGTAGAGTGAATTTCTGCCCTTCCTACCTTTCAGAATTATTTTGCAGGTCAGATGGGATGGTCTGTGTAGGAGTACTTTGTAAACACAAAAGTCATCCACAAAAGTGATATAGGATCATGCATCGCATAATGATGTTTTGGCCAACACCAGACTGCATATAGGATAATGGTCCCATTAAGATTATAATGGAGCTGAAAAATCGCCTGGTAACGTAGCCATTGTAAAGTTGTAGCGCCACGCATCACATTTTTGTGAAGATGCTGGTATAAACAGACCTACTGCACTGCCAGTCATATAAACATCTAGCACATACAATACATCAGTACATCACACTTGATAATGATAATGAACAACTATGTTACTGGTTTATGTATTTACTATACTATACCTTTATCCTTATTTTAGAGTATCCTTATTTTATAAATATCCTTCTACTTATAAAAACAAAAGCTTACTGTAAAACAGCCTCAGGCAGCTCACATCCTCTCCAAACCCTAGGGTCTAGTGTCCCCTCCACTCCTTAACCTTATGCATTTTTCCTAAACCAACTCCCTTGCGACCATTTTTTGCCTGTCCCCAATTGGCAAGCCCAGCTCATTTCTTCGGGAGATGACACCATGTCAGATATTCCCCCTTGTGGTTATTATTTATGGAAGAACCAGATGGGAAAGCTCGGGAAACTGTCTAATTAGAAAGAATCTCTCATTTCCATCCTGTTTCTATGTCCTTAACAGCCCCCGCCTCCACCCCGTGCACACGTGGGCATGTTCTGAGCGCCTCTTTCTGTTTTCAGTCGATACGTGCCTACCCTGGCGTCTGACCACACGGCAGACTGCTTTTGAAGTAAATGGAAAAATGCCTGAACGGTCCAAGTACTGGCCGTGGGGAGTTGAGACGCTCTGTTCTGTGTCATGCCTGGACGGCCAGTCCCCTCGTGTGTGGTTTCTGAAGCCCGTTACACTTCAGAAGTGCTGAGCGGTGACAGACAGTGTCCTTCAGCCAGACGGGGGCAGGCTGCACTCCACAGAGGGGGCAGGAAGCTGGGCTTGAGTGTGGGGACTAGGAGATGTTTGTGCTCCAAGCCGCCTAGGAAGGAGCCGGGGGCCACACC